CTCAGCATTTTTGAACAAAACTTTTCGTCCTTTAGTATTTTTTAATTCATTCTTTCTGGATCATTATCGATAATAATTATTATTATTGCTATAAATAATTTTTATTGCGCAAAAAAAATATTCCATTAATTCTTAAAATGTTTTTTATTTTTATTTTATTTACGCACTTATTAAATATTTTGTGCAATATCTAATAATATCTTGGACGTTTTAGATGAGGCTAAAAAGCCGGAATTCACCGGCGGGGTGGCGTCGCAAGATGGTACCTGTGGTGGTCAGTGGCGTTATCCGAGAAATTGCTCGCCGGAAAATGGCACTTGCGAATACGCCATACAATGGACGTATAAGGGTAAAAAGGTAATTTATTCTCATATTATCTTATATTATCTCATATTATCTCATATTATCTCGGCGTTCCATTTCGTACGGGCGCAAACAAAGCCACTCTGACGAAGCCGATATCATGGAAACTTTTCTCCGTAGGATCTGATAATGTTCGTAATCTCCACGACGAATACCAATACGTGGACCGGAGTTGGATTTTCCGACGACAACAACATGGTAAGAACTTGTCAAATAAGGAGACAGTCCTTTCTCTTGATAAGCCGCTTCGCGATATTCGATGTCCTTTTAACTGAATCACAAATTAAATCTCAAATTTGATAGCTGAGAAAAGAGCCACCATTTAAATGGATCGTCTCTCCGAACTTCCGAAGGACTGTTTCTCCTTAAAAGAGGAAGATTGGAGCTTAGAAATGTTCAGATAATACTGTTCTTTTCGTTTTTAGTCGCAGACCGATGCCGTGCTCGGCTGGGTCGATAAGACAAACGGTCGGGCTTTCGTGATGGACACCTGGATTAGTGGTTACAACGCGCCATTGCTGGACCCGTCGCAGGACGTCTACAACATCAGCGGTCGCATCGAGAATGGCGTAACCACCCTCCGGTTCTCGAGGAAACGCGTAACGAAGGACAGCAAGGATCTCTCGTTTACGGACGATCGTTGCCTGTATATGATGTTCCCGGTGAAGGGAGGCGTATTTAATCCGATCAATAAGAAGATCCGAAAGCACGACGCGAAACCGGTCGTTTCGTCAGACAGGATATGCATCAAGTCCTGCGGCCTGGAAGGTAAATACCGGCTACCACATTTTTGTTGCTCGCTAAAGTTGCTTGACAACTATTAATGTAATTCTTAGAAAGATATTATTAATTTGTGTCATTTATATATCATTGTTTAATTATATTTCTTCATTTTTCGCATCTAATTATTATAATAATTGCTACTGTCACTGAATAATCTTTTTCGTTAGAAAATTATGTCTTGTAGTTATTGTGTTTCAAAGTATATTTCTGATTGTTAAAAATGATATTTTTAATTTGTTGAAAATAATACTTTTAATTTTTAATTAAATAATCAATTGCCCACATAGAAATTGAAGACCAAACCACGCCCGCGCCACCGAGATTGCATTACGATATCGAAGTCAAGCTTGTTAACTTGGGTGACGGATTTATGGCCCCCACACCCGACAGTCCCGACTTCGAAGTGATCTCGAATAGGATATCGGAAAGCTTCGGACCGGTCTTCGAGAAACTCCCGGGCTACTATCAAGTCCGACTCGACGAGTTACGAAAGTAAGATAGCAAAAAGGGAGAAATAATAGCAGCGAGAAGATACAATGTTTGATATTATAAGGTACCACTTATTCTCGTTCGTTCCCGTTGCAGAGACAACGAACAGGGAGTGATCGCGCGCATGAATCTGATCGTTGACAAGAACGAGGTCAAGGGTAGATCTTTGAAAGCCGCGGACACGGGTTTAGAAGCGGAAAAAGCGTTACGCGAAGCACTCGTGACCGGCAAGGTCGGAGCACTCAGCGTCGATCCGCAGTACTTGATAGTGAGAGCACCCCGAGGTAAGCGCTGAGTTTCCAAACATTATATATTAATGTAACACAAAACTCTCCTTGTCCTCGATAAATTTTCTATCCTAATTGAGATCCGAAATTAGATGATTTCTCATTTTTTCTTAATACTGCATATAACGGTAATTATCTTAAAATTTGAAGAGTCATGCAGTTTAATTATGTAGCTTCAAGTAGCGCCGTTTTTTAAATGCTAACGGCATGAAAAAATGTAAATTCGTTCAGATTATTCCGGATATTTATCTTCGTCAATCTCGTTACGAGTTTCACGAGATGAAAATATTATACTTGTTTTCAGTGAACGATATAGAAACGGAGGATGAATACGATCGACCACCTTCCGCGACAGACCTGTTTTTGGGCGCGACGAAGCTTTATATCGTCGTCGGTTGTGTAGCAGCGTTGCTGGCCCTCGCTCTGCTCCAGGCCAGTTGTACTCTTTACAGGAGCTCGAAGAGGCGAGCGACCAAGGTATGTTCTGTGTGCGTTAGAAACTTCTTGTTCTTCTTCGTGTATTTTTTTCTCTCCACTTTTTCTCGCATTCCCAGGTCTTCCTCCTGAGTGTTGTGTTCTGTTCTTTCTCTAACGAACTTGTGGTGATCCCTAACGTGTTCCAAGAAAGATGTATGACGCAAATTGGAGTTTTATCTCTGAGGAAAATAATCTTTAAACATCATTCGACACTTATTGTAGCAACTATTAACTAAATAACTGTAATATCGTAACAAATCTAATGAATAATTAAAATAATTTAATGCTGGAAAACATGTCAATTGAATTATAATAAAAGAAAAGCCGTAATTTAATGATATTGTGAAGACGCCGGATTTCTCTTTTCTTTTTTTACTTCGGGGAAACGAAAGATCAGACTGCCGTTCGCATACGTCTTCTTGGGACACTCCGTAGCGTAAAAACTACGCTTCCATCCCCTAATGAACCCGACATCTTTTGCTTCGCTTGTGTTGCATGACTCGCGCTTCCCGCGACCAAAAAAGAGGGTGTACTCGCTGCCTCTGGCTTCCTCCGACGCGCCCAACCCGATTCATCGCACGAACGCGACGCGGTACCATCGACAGCAAAACGGCGACCATCATCATCACCATCACAACAACAACACCAACCATCACCATCATCATCATCATCACCACCAGCTTCGGCATCACTACGTCCCGTCCGAAATGTCTATGCATCGGACTAATCCCAGCTGGTAGAGCTTCTCGTCGAGTATAATCGGTGCGCAATGTTCCACTCGCCTCTATGTTGTTTCGCTCTAATCCAGTTATCTTACTAACTCGCTCTTTTATCTGGCTCTTCCTCGCTCTCTCTCTGTAATTGCACGTTTCTTGCGCCTCGCTACCAAACTTTTCTCGTTTATTTTTTTTCCACTAATATGGGTTGATTAAATTAAATTAATTAACTTGTGTGTTTCTATCTACTCTATGCATCGACAGATTATCATAAATAAATTTTTTTTCTTACGTTATCAATTGATAAATAAACATGTGTGAAATATATAAAAGACAATAATTTGTGATTAAGAAATGACGAAAAAAATTGTAAAATTATTTGCATTCTTCGTGTTCTAAACGCGTCATTTTTTTGCGTAGGAACGTTTGATCGCCAGTAATGCCTGGAAAGACTACGCTTCCGGCGCGAACACGAACTTCGCGTTCGAGGCGTTCGAGACGGAGGAGAAGGCGCCGCCGCCACCGATTTCCAGCCTGCCGAGAGCCAGAGAGATGACTGGCAACGGTATGACCGGCATGACTGGTATGAATGGTACCGACGTGGTCGAGGGGCCCAACAGGATGGTCGGACCCAGGGCGACCTACAGTCTTCCACGCGCGCCCGGTGCCAGACACTCGGCGCCTGTTCAGCACGGTTACTACACGCAAGATCGCAGGGACCACTACGGCCGCCCAAAGAGCATGCACAATCCGGCGGGCGCGGTAGCCCAGGCGAATCAGCCAGACTTCTATTTCATGCCCAGCCAGCGAAAGTACAGCGGCGAGGTCGTGCGCGTTTACGTGGATTACGGCAACCAGATGCCGAAATAAACGAAGGGGAAGTTCAGGTCGAATCGCGAGAACGATTTTACCCACTTCACCGAAGCGATCTGTACATATCCGAGTTGTAGTGACAGAGGACGCGGAGAAAGGACTACGCAGCCCCTGTGCGGTGCTATTTTATCTCTGTTTCTTCCTTCCTCTTTCCCCGTGACCTCCCTTCGCCGAGGACAACCTCGAATCAAATCGCTGGGTTTGAGATACGGATAGGGAAGTCACCCCGTACGGAAGCATAGAAGTGGCGCTTACGACCAAAGAAGATATTCATGGGGCGCGCGCCCTATAATTTGTATAGAGCGTATGAACTCTCGTCAAACTTTTGTGCTTTTGCGGTGGAGAAACTGTATAATTATATAAATAAGTCTCATGTAGTAGCCGAGAATCTGACGGTCCGAGGATCCCTGAGTCCAAAATATGAATCTTATGATCTAGCAGTATATATTCGAAGATTCAAGAAAGATCCAGGGGCCATATAGCTTAATGTCAAGAAGATAAGACTCGAAGGATCCACGGATCCACGAATAACAGGATTCAACGATCCTGAAATTCGAGAATTCGAAGATCCATGAAAAAAACATATGTACCTAAGTTTATCTCGCTCGAATACGCGTCTGTTTATATCGCGCAACAGAATCCCGACACGTTTAATGGATGTATCTACATCATCTACTCTAAAAAGCAAGCGTGGACACGCGTTTGAGCAATAAAACGTTTGTACATTTTTTAAACGAAGTTGACGCGTCCTGTGTTTCTTTAATGGATTACCTTCATCTTTAAAGCGTTACTTCCACACATTGTTCCACTTATATGCAATTAGCCTATCGATACTTAGAGAATGTCAAGGAGAAGCGGTAACGCGGTCATAACGGTAGGAATAAACGAGCAAAATACCTATGAAGCGATTGCTAATAGTCGTTATGGATAAAAATTGTAACGTCTGTGACAATGACGACACTGTCGATATAGAGAATCGTGTTGGTACGGATTATAAATTATTACAATAGAGTGATAAAATTAACGATATAATACTTGTAATAATCATAATAACGATAGATGTAGCAGCAGTAGTAACGATGGCAATAATATTACAGTATTAATTACATTAATGTCATTAACAACGGCGTCGCGTGCAGCTAGACTTCCGGGATATCTTCACGAGCGATGGAATATAAGGCGACGCCAAAGACAAGCTCTCTCTCCCTCTCTCACTCTCTTTCTTTCTCTCAATCTCTCTTTCTCTCTCTTGCGATCTCTAAAAGTACGCGAGCATATATCCGGAAGTCAATTGTGGCACGCACTGCCCGCGTTCCTATTATTACATAACTAGCATCGAGCACATATGTTCGGCTCTACCATAAAGTTGTTTTTTGTTTCTTCGGTCACACGTGCCGGCGAAGTTTGAGAAACGAATTCTACGCGAATCTAATATATGGCATGCCCGACGAACGCGAATGCAAATGCCGCGCAGGACAATACGACGATGTGTGTGACGAGTAAACGCGCGATTAAACTACGGTGTTTGTCAGAACGCATCACGAAGCGTTTTGTAAGAAATTATACGTAATCGCGCACGTACTCGCGCTCGGCGGGAATGCCATTTTATCTCTGCTTTTTTTCTATCGGTCTGTTTACTTGTTAGCTTGTCACTCATACATGCATTATTTTTCTTTCTCTTACCCCCCCCTCTCTCTCTCTCTTTCTCTCTTTCTCACACTGACATACATGCACACATACACACACACACCTTTTATTCCCTGGCACGCATTCGTGTCATCATCGGCACTTGTACATAATTCAACACATCTCTCTCTTCATCGGTCAAAGCGGTGTAGTTAAAGAATACGAACAGGCAAACATCTGATAAACGGAGTGAACACCGTAATAAGGCTTAATTTAATTTGTTAGTAACTTGTATGATCCTGCTCTGTACGCGTCTGCTGCACAAGCCTGTTTTCACACAGGAGCGCACTATGAATGGCCCACTCAAGCCCGCTGCTGTCCATTTTGCAGTGTTTATTCCACGTTTGTGACGACACATCTCTTTCATTCAAAAGCCGTTGTTCCGTTGTCTTTACATGTTTCCATTACAGCACTATACATGACGACTCGTTCTCCCGCTTCTATCGCATCGCTCTAATTCATTTACTTGTTGTTTCACTTCCTCTGCCTGACGTCGGATTCCTTGTTGGGTGTCGGTTTACTATAAATTTAAATAAAAACAGAATATCAGGTGAAGTAGTTACGTATGTACGAGAAGCTATAAAGCGTCTCCACTAACATATAATTTATGTTTTATAAAGCGGGGAGCACACACTTCTGCACAACGCATAATGCGTAAGCATAAGAAAATTGATTGGTCTATTTCCTTATGCACATGTGTATGGACCAATCAATTTTCTTATGCTTACGCATTATGCGTTATGCAAAAGTGTGTGTGCTCCCCGCTTTAGTCTATTTTATAAAACTACAAACATTACGAGCAAATACTATAAGTTTATTATTATAAAGGAGTGTGAAATAGGATTGGAATGGAGTAGGCAAAATAATCCTCATCTGCGTTTTTCTTTTCGTAAACAATCGAGATAAATAATTTAGCCAAACTGGAGCCGATTTTAGAGTACGGTGTTTCCGAAACTTATCCGAGGTGGGCTCGAAGCGAACACTCTTGATGAATCGGAACTGTGGTATGGGAGGTATATCGGGTGGGAGAGGTCCATGCAGCGGAACATGCCATTCAGGGGGTTCCTCGGCAGGATTAGGTTCCAAGATAAAACTGCATCGAGCAGAAATACAAGATCGTAATTCTATCGTACATTTCGTAAAATAGAATTCCACAAGAGAAACATAATCATATCAAAACACACTTACGTATCAGGGCTTTGATCGGTATCGGACTCCTCAAGTTCAGCTTTGTTCCGCTTCTTCTCATAAACTAGAATGATGGCGCATAGAACAACAACCTCCGCGCAAATGCCTAGGAAGGGCCAGAGTGCGGCGAGCTTATCCTTCACCCTGAGGAATGTCTTGGCCTCCGAATAGTGTTCTGGTACGGTATCAGACCAGTTGTACGACATCCTGCAGATAACGTCACCGCGATCGTCCATCTCGATGTTTTCGACAACCAGGACGGCGCCGTGGATACCCTTCTCCATATCCTTGGTGATCTTCACGCGACCCTTGCTGCTCGTATAATTCTGATTCCCGAAAGTCCAACTTATTTTTACGCCAGGACTAAGAACGCTCAGTTTACCGCCACACACTAAGTGCAGTTTCTCGCCCTCCACCACGCTGGTAGATTCAGCCAGATGCGCCGTTGGCCTCGCTGAAATTTTAGAACATCGAATGTGAGATGTAAACTTCTTTTGGCATAACATTTTTGCAAAAAAAATTATGTTCTCTTTTCTTAAAATAAGTAACTTAACAGCGGTGACTAAATTCATACAATATTTTCCGCTTAAGTCGCTTATTTCTGATAACTTATTCTATAAATACTAGAAATGTTGTGCTGGAGTACTCACGTACGACTCTGTACTCGATCGTGGCGTTAGCTGCTTTACAAGTGTAATTTCCATAAACTACTTCTTTATCCTGTAAAATCTGCAGGCTGCCAGTCTCGTTATCAATCTTGGTGATATCTTCGCCAGCCAACGCTGTGCTCAACGGTATCTTCTCCTTCAGCCACTGCACTTTATCGCCAGTGCTTCTGTTTGCGCATTCGAGCACCAGAGGTACATCTTTGGCCGTAATAACTCTAATCTTAATATCTGCGTCAAACAAGAAGATGCGTTAAAACGTTGTTTTTCGATGTACGTTTAAATATAACCGTGCAAATTGCGACGTCAAACGAGTCATCGGGGAAAAATAACGTGCGCGCGTATTATCGCAAAGACCTCAAAGATGATGATAAAAAACTCTATTTTTTTTAAATAGTCATAAAAAAATTAATTTATAACTTTTCCATAAATTACTCAGGTATTATAATGCACGAGTGACGGCGACAACTACCACTGCAGTTATATTCTTAGAACGTCGTCCTAAATATTCTATATAATAATAGCCGAGAAACATGGCAACCGAAGAGATGCGAACAATTCGTACATTCCGCTTTTGTAGAATAAGTTCATTCACTTTTGCGTGAATCGTCCGAATGTTATTCTGTTCTCATTAACTTCTCTGATTTTCGAGCATAAAATATCCATCGCATATTTCAGTTATCAGAATTGAAATTTCTGTTATCTATAATAAAGTATGACGTAAGATATATCAATTATCTTACACGATTAGAGACATGTGATTAATATAATGATAATGAATCTTTCGTAAGATTTTGATGTGCATACAGTTGAGTGATATATCCATAAAACGGATTAATTATTCATAAATATCAGCATTTGAATGTTATATTAATGAGATATATTATTATTAGATAAATAACATAAGCTCTTATATTCTTAGCTCTTGCATGTGCATGATAGTTAATGTTACTACTATTATAGTCTGTCGATAAATAGTGTAATAAATATTAATAAATGTCGTGTCGAGAATCGAGATGGAAGGTGAATAAAATACTCTTGTACATGCAATAAAGCAATAACTGAAAGTTTGTTCAATGTTCGAGGCGGAAAATATCACTTATCAAATATTATCACATGTCGAGAAAAGATTTCAGATATAGGCCACGTATCTTCGTAGAGGTGTAAATACTTGACTTATTAACTTTATATCGATAATCGATATTTAGCTGTTTGTCAAACTCAATATTTAGCCGTGTTAGACTTGAAGGGTCTCTGCAGCAAACACGTGTGTAATAAACGTAACAATAAAGTGTTAAATTCAGGTAGGTATAATGGTAGTCGGAAATGCACTAGTTTTCTTCATGGAAACGGTGATAAACGCGCGTAGAAAAAAAAATACTAACATAAATGTACGAGGTGTCGCAGGAAAATTTTGTAATTCTTCTACCGACAGATTCTTTATGCGATTGATAGGATGCAATTTATCAAACTATCGATAATAACACACATAAACTAACACTACGAACCGAAGTATAACGAGAGGTGATAAGCGTTCGGACTGTCGGGGGTGCATCTGTACACTCCCTCGTGGTTCTCGGTCGCTTGGGCCGCCGAGAGCTTGCTGCTGCCGGTACCCTGCTTTGAGTAGACGACCAGCTGACCGCTGGACAACTCAGGTTCCAGCGTATTGCCATCTCTGGTCCACCTAATGAGATCATCATCCTTCAAATCGTTGCACACGATGTCCCAAGGTTGTCCCTCGCGCGGAGCAACCGTCGGTCCCGTGTACGTCACTGCTATTGAAAAGGAAAACATTTAAGTTCGTGTACAAGTCAGAAAGAACTAGAGACTATGATAATTTTATCTTTAATATTTAAATCGATTTATATTAGTCAAATCAGTTTGCAAGTTCCTTTTATGCAACACGTGCATGGAAAGTGCCCTTTTACGCACGCTACGCGTGCGTGATAGACCACTTTTCAGGCACTTGCAACATAAAATAGGGAGTGTAAGCCGTGTGTAAAGATGAAAATTCCCGGGTGCGGAGTTTACGCACGAGCCGAAGGCCTCACTTGTTACACAAATAACTATTATAAATCGTAAAAAATTTAGAAATCACAAAATATTACAAAATTTGTAATTAGTTTTCAACAATTAACACACGTCTCTCTGTTTATATAGCAGAGAGCACCAGGCTCGCTGTTTCAAAGAAAATGTATCACTATAAGGAAGTTATACGTAGAGTAAGCGGAAATTTGCATAAACGTCTAACCTTGGACACGACAATCTTCGGAAAGCATTTAAGTCACGTGGGTAAAAGGTAAGATAAAACGCCGAAGAGAGTCTTAACGGATAAACACACCATTACTTTATAGCAACCGCGGAAATTACATTGCAATTTCGCGGCCCTGAGTTCAAGGTAATATTGATCGAGTAACAGTTGAGAAATTCTGTGTGTTTTAAGTAAATCCGTCAATATTAAATATTCCGATTTGTAAGTCGAGTCAGCTAGTTTTATTTCCGTCTCTAAATTAAATTGAAAATCTTGAGACTCGCGGCATCGTATTATACTTGCAGCACGGGTCGCGATCGATATTGAACTCCGGAAAACTTACGTGATAGACTTGCCTTGTAGAAAACAGGCGTGGCGGAAATATATTTCTACTTATCTCGAATGCGAGAAAGAATAATCTGAATATCGATCGCCCGCACTTGGGGAACGCGTGTTTACGCACGTTTACGTTTTAGCCCGCTCGGCACGAGAACGCTCCTCCCGGTTGTTGGTTCCTATAGCAGTCGGTGCGAAGAGACCACACCAACTATCGATCGCATACGTGTATAATCAGTTATAATTATCTTAGCGAGTACATACCGCGGAGCAATGTAAACCGGAATTCTTTCGCGGAAAGGACAATTAGTAGCAATCTAGCTGATTGCTCTATAACAATCAGTAATATTCGTGAACAGCTGTCGCTCGCAAGTTTCGCCACGAATTATCCCTCGGACGAACACATAAAGAAATTAATTCTTAGATCCTCTTGTTAAATTTTACTTTAATATAGTGTTTGATATTCGAATTATATCTCATCATTTTTATGAAAGCGTTTGTGTATTTTAATATCTAACAATAAACCACTTCGAATTCAGTTTCTATAAACACTGGAGTGGTATCATTATATTCGCAAGAAAGAATAATTTCCGATTCTATATCAGTCTCTTGTGAGAAATTAATTTAGCGTTTATTTTCTTTGCTAATTTATTTTCTCACGGTTGGAATAAATTCTTGAACGGGATTCATTTTATTATCAAATTATATAATACGTAAAATAATATTTATACAATATTCGGGACCTTTGGACGCGGACGGCTTGAATAAAATGTTCGGCAGCAGAGGTGCCACGCGCGTTGATGACGAATCAGCGGAATTATACCACCAGCGTGATGACGTACACGTGCTTGTGTGCGCGAAGTTATATGCGTCATAGTAGGTTCGCAGTGATAAATAGTGACAAAGCACGGTCTGGCGTGGCCAGTGAGAATATATGAATCAGGCGCGCGGATCGTTATTTTCGAGTCGCGGCGCGATAGCTCGGTGGTCAAAATAAATGTTGATCGCGTCATTAACGTCAACCGAATAAGTCGAGGCAAAACTCATCTTGATTGCCAGATTCACCAGATTGCAACACGCTGATAACCGGCATGTAAACGTCGCTCAAAGAGCTGTCTAATGAACAAGGAAAAATTCCGAGAACAAATCGTTTGACGTATTGCATTGTTCAATTATTTTCACCGCGGAGAATTATTCTGACCGCGTTCAATGTCCATTTCAATTCTTACACAGTACGGTTTAACGCAAACAATATTTTCATCAGTTTTTTTTTAATTTACTTATCACGGTAAAAATACAATCGAATGTTTCGAAAAATTAGATTCTTATAAAATACGTTCGTATAGTAATCGTTAATAATTTGGATTTTTCTTTTAATTCGGACGTATTTATTTTGTCGCATAATTTACCGTTCATACTTTAATTACATTGTTTAAATTTAGCATACATATATTTCAGTACATTCGTTCATCAAAAAGTTATACGAAGACCGTGGAGCTACTATCGAAGCCGATAGTAGCTCTAAGTCGATATTCGTGCATATATCGTTTGATTTCGCCGTAAATCAATTCCTCGTGTTCGTATAAATCTTCTCTTGCTTTATACCCGACGCGAATTCTCTCGGACGATAATCAACCGGAGTTTAATGGCCAGCGTCACGTCTTCATGACGAATATAGTCCATCGTAGACGCGGATCGTAAGTGCGGGCAACCAAACTGTAATAAATGTTTTTCTAACCGAGCTAACGTTGATTCCGGTTATTAAATTACGCCGACCGATGCTCGACAACATCGCGTGGTCGCGGTGGAATAATTTCGTCGGTATTCTGATCTTTTTTCTCTTCGTCCCCCTTCAAAGGCGAGGCCCGGTCGAATCCGGCAAACAGGAGGGGAATTGTCCGGCGGAACTGACACGGCGCGGCGGCGTTCAAATGCGAATCGGCGGGGCATGGTAACTCAAGGAAAATCAATAAACTACGAATGTTATTTTAAGCCCGCTTTCAACGACGGCACCACGCAGCTGAAAATCCGCACACGAAGTTCGTGAGCCAGAATGTCTCTCAATCGACACGACGCACGGCGGACCCCCGATCACTTTTTAGTTTGCTCCTCCTTCTCCCCTCGCGCGAAAGAATTATCGATGAGGCGTAGCTCGTCGCTTAGATCGAATAGGAGAGACTTCGAGAAAGAATCGTGCGTGACGCGATTCTGGAACTAAGCGATTACATTTTAGGTGAATGACATTTGTGGCGACTGGCGAGTCGAGTTCCACGGTCGAAGGACGTATCCTTCGGAACGGTAGTCACGCATTCCCAACGTCCCAACGCGTGACTATCATCGGGCGCAGCTCGCGCACGCGAAGAATTCTCGCGGGAGGAAAAAGACCGCGATAGCAATCGCTGTAATTTCTGTAATTCCAATCAGAGATGTTCGCGCTATTCATCTCGCTTCGTTTCATCTCACGCTTATCGTTAGCCATGCACGAACGACGGAGACTCTCGAAACGAAAACACGTGCCGGTGTTTCTTTCCTAACTTGCGATGCACCGACGTGCGCAGTTTGTTGTTGGCCCATTGAAACTTCACGTCGCACAGCGTTGCGTTTTTGAGTTGCGGTAATCAATGCAAGATGTGACACACTTTCGGGAGTATATTCCTAGACTCGCTTTCTCGTTTCGAGAGACGTAATCTTGAACGTGGTTTCCTCTGAGTTTCTAACGTGTCGCGAAGACTATGGAACCACTCGGCGTTACGTTGGAGAACCGTAAAAATAGATGCATCCTTGCAGGATGAGACGTAAGCGTTTTCTCATCTGGCGTTCAAGAATAGAGACACACGTTTCTTGACCAACCAGACGCGGTGGCTAGATATCTCTGCAGGCTGGTCTCAGAAGAGTTATTACGAAAACAAATTATTACATGTACACACACTGAGAAAAAAAATATTTTAATAAAAAAAAATATTTATTAGGTGGCTCCTATAATAGCATATTTACTTACCTCTTACACATATTTATTTAGAATTAGATATTTTTATTTCAATTAAATAAAAATATCTAATTTTAAATAAATATGTGTAAAAAAGTAAGTAAATATGCTATTAGGAGCCACCTAATAAATATTTTTTTGGATTAAAATATTATTTTTTATAAAATTTGTAATCTATTCTCAAAAAGATGCAAAAAAAATTTGTTAATTCTCCTCAATACTTAAAATTCGAAAATTCTTACGGGCCAAGTTCCTTTTTTTTATCCCCTAATTTCTAGTACCATCGTCCACACGTGCGAAGCGTATTACGATCTCGCGCAGATGTCCGTGAATTGCTTAGGGTCTGCAGCTTGACCTTGATAATCAAATGATGTGAGAGCGCCTAGGGGGGGAAGACAGTTTGCGTTTTTCGGCGCCGAGTCGATTCGGGACGTTATGATACGTAGTGTCTCGCGATTTATAGATGTAAAAATAGGCGGGCCGCGCAAGCTATTCGGAGTTAAGTTTTTAACGTTCTCTGGCTCTCAAACGCAGGCCGGCAGGCCATGCAAAGGCGACGACGTTCGTCGCTCTCTTTCTCTATCTCTCTCCGTCTCTCCCACCGACGTTGGTCTCTCTCGGCTCTCCTGCGTCACGTATATCGGGGGGCTGATGTCTATAACGATCCCCCTCGGCGAACAGATACCCAGATATGGATTACCATTCGCGGGAAAACGAGTCGGGTTTTCTGGGTGAACGGAAAACAGGGTCGATCGTTGCGCAACTTTTGTTGCCGCGGCGCGCGAATAAGTTCACCGTCGCCGTCGTCCTCCACCTCGACCCGGTCGCGATCGGCGATGCCCGACGTGGCGCGCGCCGCTGCTGTCTCTCGCTTTCGCGTCGCGATTTCAAGACACGATCCTCGGCGATCGTTCGTTGCGAAACGAACCGCGATAGTCTATATATGTACGCGGAATCGGATATACCGAGCTGCGCGACAGAGATACTCGAACCTTGGCAACAGCACCACGCGAGTCCTTCTCCTATCCGTCGTGAAAGTAACATTTGCGCGATGACGTGCCCAGTTATTGCCGCACCGATTATCATCGCCGATAGAAAAAAGGAAAGAAAAACCTTCTTTGCCTATGTGAGGTTCGAAAAAGATCCAACAAGATAATCTCACGGGTAATAGGATCAAGAAAGACTCGATAAGAGATTCTTTTATTCTTTTTCTCTCGCGTCACTTTTACATTTTCTCAATAAATATTTGATGAAAATATTTAACGGCTAACATATGCCTTTCGCGTCAAGGATATCACGTGTTCGATGACAAATGCTCTTTCACGCTGTGAAGATAAATATACAGCTCGAGCTGCGAAAATTCTCAAGTGTTTTAACAAAACTTTCAAATATTTGGGAAAACTTTAAATGTTATTGCAGCTCCAAATTCTGAACGCCGATAGCTAGAGGCAATCTCGATGCGTGTATAACTAACGATCTAAAATGTTAATACTCGGAAGATTGATGCAGAGTGTTAATGACCGTAAACTGAAGCGTCGCGGGAATCGATACCAGACACGTCGGCCAAATTATTTCACACTTATATTATGCACCGCGGAATATCCGTTATTACATTGTTCTAGTATCTGTTGTTGCTGTGTTACACCACTCAATTATTACATAATTCTATTTTATTACAAATAATGTGAAATTACGAGAGAACAATGAAATATTGAAATAATAAAATTACGGGACTCAAATCACCAAGGGCTCCGCGAAACAAAGATTGATTACGACGGCCGAGGGAGCGTGTGCGCGATGGACTCGCAGAGCGTGCATACCGTGACTCGCGAGGATGCACAGTGTTGCAGCATTATCGACTAAACTTTTTTAGAACGCGTCTCGTCGGTGTCGATAACTCTCATTAAAGCGACCTAGAAAGCGACGCGACGCCTTGCCGCGCGAGATATTCAACAAACCGCAAATTATACGTTAATAAACGCCCCGCTAAAACGCCTCCGCTTGGAAACTTTCCATTCGCCCGCTGCCGAGTCTCATTGTTAAAATTTCGAACACGTCTGTGTCGTGACATCACTCGAATCTGCTGATATATTTAAAGATCGTCACGTGTCTTTGTGCATCTCAAAGATAAAATTCCGTAATAAAGATAAAACTCCATTTCTTTCATTTTCCTCCTTTCTTGAGTGATCCGCGATACTTAAAGTTCCCTCGAACGGAACGTATATACGAGGGGAAAAAGTATAAGATCTAATTTATCTTCGCGTGTTATATTTTTGTACGCGATCAACACGTGTTTATTACGCGGGAATCAAACTTTCGGTTTCACCGCCGCGGGAAGTTTCTTCAAGGCGCCCCGCAGAATGTGGGTATTGTGGTCATGATAGCGTCATGGTAGCGTCGTAAATATTAGTGATCCGCGAAGAAAGATCGTACCGGGAAAAACGAAATCCGCTGTTTACGCGTATCCGTAAGCACGACTCCGCGGCGAGAGGTTTTCAACGCGGCCCGCAGGAAAAGTAAATACTCAACGCGTATATCGGCTTAACCGACCTTACGCGATAAAACCGCGAACGTTATCTCCCTATAAATAAATAAAAAAAAAGCACATCCATCGCGAGTAAGACAGTTATTGATTTATATCTGCATTTTCGTCCGTCTCGCGTTGTTTGACTTTCTCAAAGCTTTGATTAACGCGATAACGAGGAATTCAGGTTGCAGATTGTCGCAGATAGGAAACTAGAAGTAAAAAAGTTACTCCGATTGCTAAATTAATAAAATTGTAATCTCAACGAATAACTGCATATAAAACTATGCGCATATGCTAAAATTTTCTTTACACTTGTGAGATTTGCAGGGTGCATTTAATAGAATAATAACGAGAATATTATTTAACAGCAAAACCCACACCGAAAGAAAAACAGAGAGAGAAGTGTCAAATCAAGACTTATAATAATACTCATATACATATATAAGCAACAATCTATAATCTTGAAATGAGATTAATAATGCATTGCTTGCTTGAATGAAGTCATTATAGTTCAACCAAGAAATAAAAGCTTACAATTAAATGAAAAGTTGAAATTCTTATAAGAAGATTATAGATTGTTGCATATACATATAACATACCCTATACGAGTATATAAGTTTTGATTTGACACCTCTTTTTTTCTATGCAAGAGATATTAAATCTGATTTTACTCGCTCATTTTACCAGTCATTTTGAGTTTACGCTCTCATCACAAGAACGTCGCGAATCGCGATGCTAAAGTTGCATTAAAATCCTCGCGGAACTTGCAAGAATTCAACTCCAAACAATACCGTATCGAATCTACCGGGACAAACTACAGGAATCATACGGTTATTAAGTACCGTCGAACGAGCAATCTAATCTACAGGCAAAATCCACATGACAGATACGGCTGTGACGAAATTTACTCGAGATAGCAACGATTGCGATTTCTCTCTGCAATCGTTCCACGTAACACGTCCGTCGGTCTTGAAATTAAACAGGAGCTATATAATCCCACGTCGCGCTCGACAGAAACGCGGTCCGAGATGTTCCATTTTCGTATCTAGAACCGTAGGCCCGGTGCTCTCGCGTCGCACATTCAGACGCGTCTGTTCCTTCCCCATTTCGCCTATCGCGTCGTGAAGTTCGGATATGAAATAGGGGAGAACAATAACGATCGATGACAGCCGGCCCCGGTTTAATCCCGAATGAAAGCTTCGTCCTCCTTCGACGATTCAATTCAATTTAATTTCTCGATAAGAAGCATCCGAAGTATAAAATCGTCGATCGAACCGAAGGACAGTTTTGTCCGAGAAAGCTAGGTTGTAGGGATCGAACAACGGAATTAAGGACGATCTTTCGTCGGCGCGGATGTAGCATTCGTGCTTCTTCGATTTTCAAGTTCCGAAGAGGTGCGTTTAAGCACCTCTGACCTTTAACGCCTCGCTCATCACCTTGGCACGATTAATAACGTATTACCTTTGCTCGTATTACGACCGCGAGCCGAGAGGCAGCGTCGACTCGGATTTAATTAAAACCCGTCTGTCACGCAAGTCGGCGGTGGACAAGCCACGCTTGGGTCTTAAACGAGAGCGCCGTTGCCGAGTCAATCGGAGAACACACGCCGTCCTCTTTAGGTTTAGGGAAAATTTTCAGGTTTACCGTCGGCAGTGCCACGAAAAGTGGTCGACGTATATAGCTGTCCAATCGATGAGGGACGGCCGCGCGATCAAAAAGCAGGCGACGCCGCCGCGCCGCGCCGGTTGAACGTTACTCCAAGTTTCGCATCACCCCACGCGATGAAATTCCGTCTTATTGACAGACGGGGGTTCTCGATTCGCAGCCTATTGATAAAACATCGAGGATGTAAAATTGCGGTGCGAGACCAAAGATGTATCGAGTAAAGGGTGGCCAGAAAGGTGACACTGGCCAAGTTTTCGCGAACGGAGCAAGTCTCTCGCGCAGCCGGGGCCCGGGGCCGCATCGTCGCCTACTTCTATCCCGGAGTTTACGTCTGTCAATCATCGTGAACGTCAATTAGCGTCAACGGTATACGTGAATCGCGGTGTCGCGTGAGCCGTCCGTTATCGACCGCGGCGGAACCTGCACTCCGAGAAGATAGTTTTCCTCGTCGTCCTCGGACGACGATGGAACTCCGTCGGGGCGCCTTGTCGGTGACGGTGACACCCCAGGAGTCGAAGGGGAAGGAACGAGCGCGTCGCGTGCGCGGTCGCCGATCGCGAGAGGCGTCGAAAGGCGTGCGCGCTCCAAAGAGAGAAAAAGAGAGAGAGAGGGAGAGAGAGGAGGCCGGTGTGTGCCTGTCGAGGAGAGAAGGGGAGAGAAGGGGAGAGAAAAAGAGAGAGAGAGGTACTCACCTGCCTGGACCGTGACGAGGGTGCCCACCGCTAAATATAGCATCCCCAGCAGCACAAAAGCGGCTCGCCTCTCCATCCTGGTGGCGCTGCTGCCGACGTACGCGGTGGCGCGTGACCGTGTGCACCGTGCACGACAATACGATTACCAGCGACGAGCACGATGCCCCGCCTCCTCCTCCTCCTCGTCGTCGTCGTGCGAGGCGAGAGAGGGACCTACGCGGCACCTGGACGAGCGATGCCTGGCGACGCGCTCTCACGGTGCGCTCCGACTGCTCCGAGTTCGCTGATGCCCGTCGCGCCGATGGGCCGTCGTACACGAGTATAACGTTCCGTCGTCCCCGTCGTCCTTGTCCTCCTCCTCCTCCTCCTCCCCGTGGTCGTCGTCGTCGTCGTCGTCGTCGTTGCCGCTGCGATTCCCCACCGCGGTCGTCACCTCGTCGATATCCTCGGACGGTCCGTTAACCGCAAACCGCGAGACGAATTTCCCTTTCGCTCCAATCGTGCGCGACTGATCCGATCGGATCTCGAGAGTATCCGTCACACCGCTGCTGCTGCTGCTACTGCTGCTGCTGCTGTTGCTCCACCTCCACACCTCTTCCTCTTCTTCTTCTTCCTCCTCCTCTTCCTCCTCTGCCTCGGCCGCTGACGTTGCCGCCGCTGTCGTTGCCGTTGCCGATGATGATAGAGCAGTCACGATCTATCACTGACGTTCGATCGTCCGTCTTATCGTTATCTCCGCACTCGGCTCTTATCTTAATGCGCACTACACACGGAGACCGTCCGGATGCCGTCGCCGCCGTCGCCGTCGCCGTCGTCGCCGCCCCGTCGTCGTTGTCGCTCTCTCCTCCACCTCCTTCTACTTTTTCCTCTTCCTCTCCTTCTCCTCGTTACCGTCGCCGTCGATTCACCCTCGGACGAAAAAGAGAAGGGGAGAGAGAGAGAGATACAGAGATACACTGATCACAGTGATCACCGCGGCGAATAGTATGTACAACGCGAGCCGCAGCAGCTGCCAGCTGCCAGCTACAGTTACAGCAACGTCACTGAACGTCACTAACGTCAGAAGAAAAATGGCGGCCACGGGCCAGTGTCTTCTGCTCGGGGGACCTCTTCCTCCTTCACCGCCATTCGTCTCGTTCTGTCACACGCCGAACGCGTCTCAACCCCCTCCCGCGAGTCCCGCGAGTCCCATAGCACCTTTTTTCGAGCGGCGTCCGCGCCCTCTGCGGCGACCCGGCGTCGCCTTAAGTCCGCCTCACACGGCTTTCAGAATTCGCGATCGCAGGCGACTTGCGGCAGCCTTCTGATTGGTCAACGCACTCTGCCGCACGTGTGCGGCGTCAATAAGGTTCAGTTGCGCATTCCGTGTGCACCACGTGTAGCCCATTTTACTACTGTTCTAACTGCGTCACTGCGTGTTTGTTAAACAATTTGGTGTACACGCCGCGCCGACCGCGAGCGACTTGGGGCTCGTGAAGGAATATCAGCGTGTCGTCAATGACGTTAGATATCAAGGATTTAATAATCGGTGCTAATATTCGACTCGACATCGGTGTTGATCGGTGTCAACTATTCGGCGGGAAACAGCAGAACGGGAGATACTATCGATATCGTCGGCCTTTTTTTTTGTTGGATAAGCAATCGGTAGGACGTAGGACTTTTCTCACCACGCTGCGATAATAAACCGCAGTCATGTACAATTTAACGGAAGGAGCGTTGGAGGTAAATCTGTTGAAGGCTGCATTCGGGGAGCGCGCTATTAGCGCTATTGCATCATTCTATCTTTATCGCTCATCAGGTGTAAAACAAGGATAGAATAAGCAAATAGCGCTAATAGCGCGCTCCCCGAATCCAGCCGAAAGCATTATATTGTTATTGCGTTGTATTGTGTGACAATTGACATTTCATTGTTTCAGAGAATCATGCGGGGCACGGACGTCGAGAAACCGGTGCTCCAAGTATGGGTGAGTATGGAATTCAGTAGCAGGATTTTGTAACTTGATAACCGGTTTTTTTCTTAGCACTAATCTTTTAATTGGCTTTATAGAAATACAAAATTCTTGTCTAGAATTAAAGTATGCATCAAAATCTAGGTCATGGTAACAAAAATTAATATTTTTTGTTATACGTGACGACCACCATGACCTAGATTTTGATGCGTACTTTAATTCTAGACAAGAATTTTGCATTTCTATAAAGCCAATTAAAAGATTAGTGCTAAGAAAAAAATCGAAGGGAGTTACACCTTAAGGAGTTACAAAATCCCACCTCTGATCTGTTGCATCCTCGTTAGTCGGCGCATCAAAATTATTTATCTCGTGAAAGCGTGATTTTTTTTACAGAGCAAGGTCTATTCAGCAGAGTCAGGACAATTGCTTCTCTCATTTTTATGTAGATTTTTATCTAACTTTAAGTGCTTGTTATATCTTGATATGTTATGTGTCATGACTCATGATATATGTCTATCACATTAGAAATATTTCAATTGTCAATCGAACATTATTTCAATTGTAATAAAAAATTATGATGTTGCACAGGACTAATGATTTGGATGTGCAAGACAAGAATTCTAACTTTGTAATTTTCAGTGATTGCTATCCTAATAATCGTGTAATAATTTTACAGGGTTACAAAAAACTACCGAGATCCGTTAATAAGGATGGTGTCACTACCGATCGCTACAGATTGCTAGTGTCCGATGGACAGAGGTATAACTCGTTCACCATGTTGGCAACTCAATTAAATTATCTTATCACGGATGAAATTTTGACCGACAATGCAATCTGCAGAATATTAAACTATCACTTAAGTTTAATGAACAACAGTGGCAAAGAAAGGTATTATTTACACCTTACTTTTTGCATTAAAATGAGTAAATAATTCAAGTGTCGAGCATATTTTTTTCCATCAGACCCGTGATGGTTATATTGGGTATTGAGGTGTTGGTTTCTGGCAGTAAAGTTGGGCACAAGATAGGCAATCCAACTAATATAGACATTAAATCAGATGCTGAAGTCACATCTACATCCACATCTCCTTTTCCAACTAGTGAGTATATCGTTGGCTTGCGCCAATTGTGTCTAGAATAAATTACCACGTAACTTGTGTTTGCAATATATTTTTGAATGGATTTTTTAAAATCTGTTTTGCTATAATAATAGATGGTGCGGCCAAAAAAGATTCTTCAAATCATCATGCCTCTTCTGATATATCCACAACACCAATCGCTGCATTAAGTCCTTACCAAAACAGGCAAGAGAATTTTATTCTGTATAAAATATATTTAAAAATACACGACATTTTGAAGATGAAGGGACAATAATAAAATTGTATTTAGATGGGTGATCAAAGTTCGCGTGACTAATAAGTCTCCAATCAGAACATGGAGCAACTCCCGTGGAGAAGGCAAGCTTTTTTCCATGGATCTGATCGATGAAAGCGGCGAAATTCGATGTACCGCATTCAAAGATCAATGCGACAAGTTCTATGAAATGATAGAGGTACGCGTCATATGACTGAAATCAACGATGGGTATATGAAACTTTTTCTCTATAAAGGATTAAGTTGTCGAGTGTTTTTATTTATACAGCCTGGAAAGGTGTACTATATCTCGCGGTGCACGCTGAAGGCAGCGAACAAACAGTTTAATATTTTGAAAAACGATTACGAGATGACGGTGACCGGCGATACAGAGATCGTGCCTTGCCACGAAAACAGTGATGACATCCCGACGTTGCAGTTTAATTTCTGTCCCATAAGTCAAGTAGAAAACAAAGAAAAAGATGCCTTAATAGGTACAGTAATAAAAGCTAATTAAATCTTAAACATTGGTTACGTTAATCAAATGATTTTTTTTATTGTTAATGTGTATCCTTGATAATTTTATCTAAATATATCAATTGACACAACATTTATTTCTTGTTATAATCTTATCTCTAAAACTATCAATTAAATGTTATCTCTAAGTATCAATTGCAAATCGCCTTGCATTAAAGTTTTATTGTATATGATAATAAATAACAATTTTTTAAATTTTGAAATATTATATAAAATAAGATTTGGTAAATATATAATTGGATTAATTTGAAAATGATGGGTATAATGATTCATTTGTGATAGATGTCTTGGGCGTCGTTACAACTTTTAGCGATGTACAACATATTGTACAACGAAATACCGGCCGAGAGCTCATGAAGAGAGATGTTGATATCGTTGATGACAGCGGCACAATGGTGAGCAGTTTATTGACATAGATTTTAACATTTTGCTGTTACGGGTGAATAAAAAAAAATTGTCTATTAGGTGCGCGTTACACTGTGGGGAAAGCAAGCCGAGGACTTTGATGGTTCTAATAATCCGATCTTAGCCATTAAAGGAGCGCGTGTGAGCGAATTTAATAGTGGAAAACATTTATCCCTTATAATGTCTTCCGTACTTGAAAAGGATCCTGATCTTCCTGAAGCACACAGGTATATTCAAGCTGATTCTGAATTAAGGCAATTCTAACTTCGTAATTAATTATAATTAAAATTTATTTGTAATTGAGAGAAATAACCTCATTTTACGTTTGCTCTTTATGTAATTTTTAATGTTAATTAATTTCTTAATTATGTTTTTCATTAGAATTTATTGTTATTTAGATTGGCGTTTCTAAATTTTTTTGAAAATATGCTGTTGTGAATATATAATTTTGGAAATACAAATTGCATAAAAACACAGTATAACGTTTATATGATACATATTTCAGATTGCGCGGATGGTACACTTCAGTCGGCCATTCGCAGAACGCTAAATCATTGTCTAGAGCAGGTGGAAGTGGTGACTTCAAC